CTTAATGAAGAACAAGATGAACAAAATAAACAAGATAAACGATTTTATTGTCTATGTGTAAAAGCAGTTTACATTGGATTCAGTTTGACAATAAAAGATACAATATGTAATAGTTATGTGGTATTTCAAAAGCARCAATCTTGAGTTAACGAACCAACCACTTTTAGTCTGAGCGATCTAAAAATTATACTTTGCCTCTGACTGTTATCACTATCAAGACCGATACTGGMGTGTTAAATAGAATGTTGGAAGTAACGTATGTTAACATTGTGCATCCATCGAGCGTTATGGGTATATTGTTAATTTTAACTTCATATGCCGCAAGATGCTCTTTTGGAAAGTCAGCAAACTGAGGGAAAAACTAAAGGTAGTCATTTCTTAGGGCCTTTAATGTTTTCTTTATCCTTAGCGCTGTGGGTCTTCCCGCWGGCATCTCAGCCCAGCATTCTTTGACGATTTTGATCAGTTTTAACATTGTCTGTGGAAAAACGAAATGTCATATGGTAATATAAACTACACAAGAAAGTAGCTGCAGCAGCATACAGAATACAGCCTAACAAGTATGGCAGACGTGYATCATACAATAACACAACCAGGTTTTTCTGCTAAACTGCATGTATAGCGAACTGACGAAGGAACAAGGACTGATCAAATAAGACTAGTCGGGCTGAAGTATGGTAACAGTTGTGAAATAAGATGAAATTTATCACCGTAAAAAGTATGTCAAAGAACTTTTCGGCTCTTAATCCTTTGTGGGAGAGGTACTAAGCTTCGTACCGTCAGGGTAAGATTATTAATAAATGTTTTTTTACAATTTCCTTTGTATTTGTGTACTGTTTTGAAATGGAGTTTTGTGATTTTTAGTTTTTAGATTTTTTAGGTTTTTATTTACTTAAAAGTACTAACCTCATCATCGGTGAATCTATCCGAGATCACTGGTCGCAGTTTTTGCACAATAACAACGTCCCTTACATCGTGAACATTAGGGCATCGAGGAAGTTTGTCGTAGTAAGGGACCTCGTAAGGTTCTGTAACCCCATTAATCGTCTTACAACGRCGCATTATYTCCCAGATAACAAGACCAAAGGCATATATATCGGATGATTGATGAACTTGAAAGGACAGTACACTTACATCGTCATAGTTCAGATACTGGGGGGAAAGGTAACGCGCTGTACCAAGACGAAGGAGATCAAGGGTCTTGGCATTATTTCTACAGATTGCATTTCCAAGATCACAAATACAGCAGCTTCCTAAAATGRAATGGACTGACCATTGAGTGACCATCAGAGTAACTACATAGAGTTTCTGTTACTGACGTCGAAAGAATTTCAGAAGGAGCCGACGGGTTCTGTTCTTCTAAAAAATTGTTCTTGTACGATTTTTTTTCCTGGGAAAGGGATTTTGAGCTACATTATCGACAATATTAAAAGCAAATGTGGCCCCATTTCTTCTAGATTCTTTAAAATAATTTTGTTCCTGGCGAACGTTTTTAGGTCAAAAAGGCTTATATAACGTTTTTATGGTCAAAGACGGCTTAATTTTTTTTTAGTTAGGAAATTTTTATTTTTCTGGCAAAAATTCTTAGAAAGTATTTCTTGCTTGGAGAGTTCTTTTTTCCTGGATTTCTCGCTGGCACCAAATTGTGACTTACAGCTGGCTGATACATAAGAACAGATATATTTCTCCCAGGAACTCCTCGCCTCCTCCTAGAATGTTGACCTATTTTTAACTCACCATCTTTCTTGACAAGGATATTATTCGACTTGATATCTCTGTGGGCCAGAGCCGGCTTTCCTTGTTGTCCGATTATTGCTGTATGCAGATAGCAMAGACCATCAACAATGGAAATAACCATTGAAAGAAGCTCTGCTACTGACAGTGTAGCACTTTGAAGGTAGTCATATAGGGATCCATTCTCGTGGTAGTCAAATACAATCAATAACTGGATCTGCATCAAGTCATCTTTGCAGTCAGAACCTATAAATCCTTTGGAAAAAAAAGTCACAAGGTTTTAAAAGTTTCACAAAACCTACATCGATGGCCGGAGCAAAATAAAAGGGTACATTTGCGAAATTTGGTATTATTACTGTTCTAGGAAACTGTACATCTCTCTCATTTTTATAAGGATTGGCTTTTTCCTGGAGAGAGTATTTTTTGTATAATGAATTATCAAACTCATTAATAATTCATTACGCAAACACAATTATTGGGAAATCACCTTGACCTAATCTTAATACCGATGATGGTATAAATCGAATATAATAATGTCTCCCGCTTTTACTTTATATATTAGCTACATTTACATCAGTTACCTACATAAAAATATCTTAATGTACATGAATTCTTACCCAAGATATTCCTGTGGTGYAGATAGTATTTAGAATATGCCTCTATTTCTCGTTCCCARGCTTCCTGCTCCGTAGTTTTAAATATCTTCACGGCTACAACATCCCCTCTCCATATTCCCTTATGAACCTTACCAAATCGCCCCCCACCAATCACATTATAGATAGAAACCTCTTGTGCGATTGTACGCTGTGTCATGCAGGTCATAGCTGAGGCAGTGCTTGAAAATGGATCTACATTCGATGAAAAACGAGAGAGTAACTATAGCATTAATGGTAACTATAAACAGTGATTACATGGTTCAGCTCGATTCAGCGCCAGCGCCTGGTATTAGCGCCTGGATTTTTTAATGCACACAAACGAAATCTGCTCCATATACATATACAAACATGACAAAATACAGAGATTGACGATTTAAAGCTGCAACGTATTGAATTTAATTTTGGGTGCGGTGACTGTAAAATGAGAGCGGTTTCTTTAGCTATTGCACTTTCAAATTGTCGTTAGATTTGCTTAGAAGTGCAGAGGACAATTATTATAAGCTTTGGAATTTTACAATTAGAGCAATACCGGTTACAATCCCATGTTCAATTGATTGTGGAGCCTGAGGGCCGTCTCTTGGTGGATTTTCACAAACACAAAAGCGTCGATGTAATAGAACAGATAGAAGCACAATGACTCCAGCTCCACAAACACAGAAGAAAACGRTTAACTGCAATCGGTGATTTGGTGTAGAAGACGACTGAGTACTTCTTTCTGAAGCTGATAATAGAATTACACTTAAAATAAGAAATCAGAAATTCATATAAAAGCATCAGAGCTTACTGGCATCTTATCAGGCGTCGCATAGCATTTTTACTAATTGGGGCATGATGGGAAGGGGATTATAACGATTTTTTCATTTTGTCGAATAATGCGCCGAAGCTGCACCATTTTAGTCGCGAAGATCAAGACCAAATGAAGAGCAATTATATGCACATTTATTTCAAATCTTAGGGCTTTTTATTTCTAATTTTTGGTGAAAAAGGTTGAGGACTACAACAATCCTAGGTACCCTCATCTCTGTTGCCCCTGGAAGTTGAGTTAATTGGAATGACTAGCAAAGCAAAATGGACTAATTTAACCAAGTTGTTGAAGGAGTACCACTATACAAGCCACAAAATTATATAATAATAATAATAATAATAATAATAATAATAATAATAATAATAATAATAATAATAATAATAATAATAATAATAATAATGATAATAATAATAATGATAATTTAATAACTAATAATGTTAATAATTATAATGATACATTCCAAACATTAGTATTGTTTTTAAAGTTTTTACTTTTGATACCATAAGGTCCATAAGGAAAGGAGATCAAGCTAGAACACCCCTGTACATCATTGGGTTGGAAGGCTATTCGATTTTGTTTTCAGTTTCAATAAAAAAGATACCAGTGTCTTACAAAGGATGCCAGAAGATAGGATAAGCTTGTTCACATAATAGAACAAGAGAAGCATGWCTTAATTGTTATTACAGGGTTGTGACATTTTGTTTTTTGTTCTTGATGATCCCATTTTTTTACAAAATTTGAAATTCGTAAACTCTTGACCTAAACTGAACTTACACATTATTTAGAATTTWACATTTTGTACTTAATTAAAAGACTGGTCACAAAACTTATCATGTGATCAACCTCATCATGACAAGTCAATTTAGACAACACTTTAATGCCAGAAACATTGGACRAAAATCTGTGTCAAAACATGAGTGGAATTAAAGCAAAGAATCAAAGCCTTTTTTCAGGAATCATGCTACAACATACTTGAGATGCTAGTGCATGATTGTTTCACAGATTTTTTTATGTGAATCTATAGACCTCTATACCTACAGCAATTCTAACAATAGGTTTTAAATCACTTCTTAAGATCTGTTTATAATGTCATTTGTACCTTTTTGTGGTGTAGCTTTTGTTTTGGCAGGTGCATTAGTGACATTTACCAATTTGTTATCATTACACATGTCTGTGTAACAACACCTGTAGTCATAYTCATCCCTCAAGTCTGCATCTGGATCACAATCAATAACATTTTCAAGCCAGTTAAAGCAATCTCTGCTAATGGRGTATGGATATAGTTTATCTTTGCCAACCCAACAAGCTCCATCCTCAGTTGTAGTACAAGTTAAGTTTGACTCACATTCATCACAATGGCATACCAAAGTGGTTGCTGGTTTGATAACATCTGCTGAGAATGGAAAGGTAACTGGTAAAACTTTTGGTGCAGATAAGACGCATTTAGAAAAATATATTTATTCCTATCTACTAAATTTTGTATCAAATGAAGATATTAGAAAACAAGTATTGAGGAGGGATATACTAAATCTGATAAATGACCAATGCACATTTTCAAGGGTGGGGGAAAGGGGTTGGTGTAGGTGAATAAGGGGGATAATGAACCCAATTTTATTGTTCAAAAATATATAGATAGAAATCATAATAATTAGAAGTGACTGAAAGAAGAAATGAAATCTGAATGGGCCTCTGAAAGAAATACCATTTTTTGCAACCCTAAAATCTATCCTTCTATTTATTTATTTATTTATTTTTTAGTCAGCCCTATGTAATGCTGTGCGACCCTCTACTGAGTTAATAAGAGAATTCGAAATGTGCGATTTTACTCAATTGACAATTAGCAGATCAAATAATTAATTGACGCAAATAATTTTGGTTGTCATTGATGTTAAGCTTAATGATCTTTTCAAATGTGCATTTCAGTATCTGTACTAAACACTGAGCAAAGTGAGTCTTGCTATGGTAAGAACATTGCTGCATGATAATGTTTGCTTGCTCGCTCATGTTCTAAGACTAAATTTCTCGCTCAACAACAACAAAAAACTCTCATTTCAGATTATCACGTCTCAAACGATCTCAGTAAGCACAACAAAAAATGCAAAGCAGATTAGAAGCTTACCAGTAAATAGTACCATCAAAAAAACAGCCAGCATTTTCACATTCCTTGTGTTACTCCGCTCTTTTTCAAACAAAATAGYGCCGAGGCTACACATGCGACTGCCTGCGATCGAGACAAATTGACGGGAAAAAATGTATTACGTAATGCTCGCAGAAAGTGGACTAACGTACACAACCACTGTTACTAGCTACTTACAAAAAAAAAATAATAATAATTTCGAAAACTAGATAAATCTTTATTATTATTTACCAATACAGCCTGCCCCTCACAAACGAGGATTAATGACTGCTGAGAGCAGTTTTCCAGTTTTCCAATGTAACGAACTTTCATTAGTGAACTGAAGAGGTTTTTGAACGAAACTAGTTTTCACTGAATTTACCCTTTATTGTGTACGTTTTATTCACCTTAAATATATTCCTACGAGTTTCCAAGAATTGCCTTTTTGACTATGACGTCACATCAAACTGCAAGTATTATGGTTGTTAAAGGGGGCGGATTGGCGAGGAGGAAACCACAATAAAACGGCAAATGAAAATAACACTTCCATAACAACAATTTTTCTTGTGCGAACTTTCGCATTTCTTTGGTGTAAAAAGTGTCATTAATAACGGATTTTTTTTTCTTTTCTTTTTTGCTTTAAAAGTCACCGACCATGGCAAAAGAGAAATGGGGAGGGGAYGATTTTAAGCCTGCATGGGTTTAGACAGCATCTGTGGAATCCTTTCGATATAAATGAAACGAATATTATTCCCTTGCTATTGTCTGTCATAATAAAAATAATCGATAATAATTTCACATGTCGGGTTGATTGAGTTTATTATTCTTTTTCTCTATGTCCCGAGGTCTCCCTCCCTCAGGTAAAAGAGAACCCGTTTTCAAGATAAACTATATCCATACATGTATAAAACAGACGTGCATATGTATTTTTTAATGAATATCTTATCACACTTTATACATGTATTATGAAATTAATCAAACATGTTTTAACTTAAATAAAAAAAATAACTTAAAGTAAAGCTCACAAATGGAAGCGTTTCATCACAAAGACCTCAACATGCGCAGAATATATAAATATGTTCGCCCGCCTATCAACATCTCTGGATCCGCCCTTTGTTTTCATCTTAGCTGTGTTACATTTTGMAACAGAAATGTTCATAACTGAAGCGCCTTCTTACACCGACTCGATCACATTAACTGCRCGCCCTCGTATTTCASCACTTGAGCTAAAAGTAAGTGTGAATAGCTACTTTGYTATTATCTCWTTTCAAGAWTTTTTTTTCTTCTTTTCATGAACAATTTGCTTTGGGAGGGGAGAGGGGGTGGKGCTTGTTTTTGTCATTATTCTCCCATGTTTTTTAATGGTCGATCCCCTAATCAAATTCACAACACCAGCTTCCTTTCCAAACTTTATTGAATTTAAAATAATAACCATTACTTTACTTTATATTATAGCTTCATGCAAAAATATTAAGACATATGTTGTGTAAAATTCCCTAATTTTATTTAATATATTTCTTTTATAATTTAAGGTACAATATAGAGCACTTATAAAATTCACATTTATAACAGTAAGTACCGGTGAAATTCATAAATATTTTCTTCTATTAAACCCTTATARCATCTCTGGCGTTTGCTTCTATTTGTTTTCATAATACTAATCCAAGCTATTGTTGTATTACGAGTGAAATTAGATACAACAACCTCGACCAATTTTGTTTAATCATACATGTGGCTTTGAATTAAATATTTTTTTTTTGTATTTTTTTTTTCTTTCCCAAATTTAATCATTTTTCTGTTTGAATTTAGGCTTGTAATTTTCCAAATTCTCTTTATTGCCAATAATGGCTAATTCCCTGCAATTTGGGAATTGGAATACAGTGAGTTAGTGCTGAAGCTGAAATAAAAAAGAAGAAAAATTTTAAAAAATAGATAAAAATAAAAGAATCATAAATTCGCAGGATTGTCCGCTGGTTAATTAGATCGTGGTTCCATCCTGGCATATTTTCTATACTGTTTTTTTGGCGTTAAAAGAGCTGTAAGTAGCCATTACGTTGGTATAAAATTCATGTCACACTCACCTTGGGCATTTTTAACCAGTAATGAGTTTAACGACAAACATCAAGGCAAGCGCGTGAATAAGAACGACGTATGCAGCAAATGCTGTTTTACCCAGTCCACGAGGTTTCAGGCTGGAAGAGAAATTTTAAGAAGASTAAGAATCACAACTCAATTGTAGTGCAGACACCAAAWGTATGCTGCGGTAAAGAAGAATGCTATTAGGGGGATTACATTAGGCTTAGACATTTGAGTGGGGGGGGGGGGGGGGGGGGGGGGGGGGAGGGAGCGGGGAAGATTTTGAAACTAGGTATTTCATCCCCCCCCCCCCCCAAAAAAAAAGTCTAATGGATCGCCCCTTAGTTCACTAGGTCATTAGAGTTGCTGGGAACGGATAGAAAGGATTCTCATTATAACAAAATGTATTGTGGAGGAACCAGTTGCTAGGTGAAGAACAAAAGGAAACGTTACCTTCTTTTATAKAGTCTTTTTAAGTACGATACTGACGACTTGGCTGTACGACCTGCGAAAACAAACAAGAACCTTCATGACATGCACTGTCAAAAATGACGAGCAGAAAAACATTTATTAACCAAATAAAAATGAAAATAAAAGGAAATAAACAAACAATAGAAAACAACAAAAATAAACAAATAGAAAAGACCAATGGATGAGCAAATCAACGAAAACGACACGACGTCACGACGATGACTAAAATACAAACCCAAATATATTTCCTAAAGCATCGTGTTAAATGTAAGGATAACAAAATCACTCTCTACAGGTCTTACCTATGCTTGATGTTGAGTATTGATAKAGTCTCTGACCTTGCTCCGTCGAGGGACTGGTGCCAATTGCTTCCATATCAATAGCAAACTAAAATTTTCAGGTAATAGGGATGGCTGATTAGATATTAGATATTTGATTTTGAACCAATCAGAAAACAAATTTCAATTGCCGCATAAATTACTTCACACCAAAACATTCTATTGTTTTAACGCTAAGGATTATGGTCACCAGAGGGGATCAGAGTGACTGCATATCAAATAAAATGTAGATGAGCWATCATTGATAAATGATGTACATCAAAACTCGATACACTAGAGTTCTACATTGTAGTTTCGGAAAGAATATTWTAATTTTGAGTCTTTCTGAGCATCTTATCCACAATGTAAACATACTGTGACGTCATTATGC